GAACTGGCCCGTTACACCACTGTATGACCCTGACTGGGCAGATGTTCCATCTCAGGCCCAGCTGGGAGGTTACATTTTTTCACTCTCCAGTTTCCAAATATAGAATAACTTCAGCTTCACATGCACTGAATCCTGTGAAAGCTTCTTGCTCCAGAAAATGTGGGAATTTGTTCTCGCATTGTTACCCAGCCCGACGCGGCCCCTGCAAGCACACCAGCCCAAGACAGGTTTCTAAGAACTGCCAGCTGGTGTTGTGCAGTGTCTGCTCTGAGTTAAGGCTTGAGCAATGTTACACATTAATGTCTCGGTTGCATCGGTTACAACTCCAGCACACGGGGTTCTCGTCAGACATATTCTAGGGGGCATTGCTGAGTTTTCATGTTTGATTGGGATATTTCAATGTACAATTAACAAGTCTGCTCCTCTCTCACTGCCATAAGGGCCAAGGCCTTTATTCTTAAAGGTATTTAGGCTCCTAACTTGAAATCAATGGAAGTTAGGAGCCTAAATACCTTTGAAGATCTGGGCTTAAAGTTTCAGTGCCTTTTGGTAGCCACATTGCAGCATTTTGATATGACATCTCCTGGAATGTAACACGGAAGGGAAAGCTGGTGTCATTTCTCCTTTTGCTTAGTTGTGCAATGTTGAAAATTTTCCTATTAACTCCTTGCTGACAATACACAGTGCCTCTCTCTAGCATAGCTAGTTACGGGGCACCCAGGGCTGCAGGTCCTCAGAATCTTTACTGCATTGTTCCTCATAACACCCTTTCAGGAACCTGCTTCAGGGTTTGGGGCACTTCCCTTATGCACCATTCCCCGCTGACATAGGAACAATGGGTCCTAGTGGTCTTCGGAGGCCTGGCAGCCCTCGGGAGCTCGGCTTTGTGGTGGGGATAGCTACAGAGCTGCCAGGGTTGTGTTCTGTATAGGGCCCCTTTAAGTGGGCTCTCCCAAGCCAGCTGCCAATCGGGGCTGCAGTCAGGGGCAGACACGCAGACACACACCGGGCTCTTCCCTGGAGCCTCAGCTTGTTCTTTCTCACTGGTTTCCTGAAGTAAAACACATGCTGCTTGAGAGCAGATGGCTGCTCCGTGGCTATGAAAAGCACAATGCTGTCAGGACGCAGGAGAGAGCTGCATTAGCTAGCAGCCGGGGCAGAGAGCTGGAAGCCAGCAATGGCTGCGTTCTGTTCCCAGGCTCTTCCAATTTCACTCAAGCTGCTTACCTGATGAACCCATCCCCAAGCCCCTCCCCGTAAGGTATTCTTAACCTCTCTCTACCAAGGGGCCAGCCCAGGCTCCGAGAGGGGAGGTGACTGGTCTATGGGCACACGGTATGTTGGGGGCAGAGCCAGGCTTTTCCTTCTTCCAGTCCGTTAACCTAGATCACTACACTGCGGTACCCTGCCCTGCCATGCAAGTTATTGACCCTCTCCGGGTCCAGCCTGGGGCAATAATGCTCAGCCATATGCTGCATAGTGGGCTAGGAGGAGCAATCATTTCAGCCAGGTGCAAGAAACAAAGAAGCAGGTCACACAGACAGGCTGGGGGGCATCCTCCTGGAAAGCACCTCCTCTGAGAAGGGCGTGGGGTTCCTAATGAAGAACTGATTGCACACGAGCCATGGAGAAAATGACTCCCCTAACAGTGCTCGCATAGATTGTGGTACCGATAAAATCTCATTGAATTTAAGTGAATGGAACTGAGCGTACGTGATCTTCTAATGTATTAACAATGGACGAGCAAGTAGGAGCAGGGATTTGGTATTGCCTCTGTATTTGGCACTGGTGTGATGGCTACTGGAATATGGTGTCCAGTTCTGGTGTCCGCATTTCAGGAAGAGTATCGCACAGTTGGAGAGGGTTTAGAAGAGAGACTCACAAAGGATTGGGGAGATGGAAAACCTACTTTTATGGTGAGAAAATAAAGGAGCGCAATCTTTTGAGCATATCAGAGAGAAGGTGAAGAGATGACTCGATCAACCTCTGCAAGTACCTCCACAGAGGAAAGCTGTCTGATACTAGAGGGCTCTTTACTCTAGGAGAAAAGGCTGAATGAGGGGCTATGGCTGGAAATTAAACTCAGACAAGTTCAAACTGGAAATAAGGAGAAAAGTTTTAGTAGTGAGGGGAATTAAGCATTCGAACGGTGCCATGAGATTTGTGATGGATTTTCATCACCTGGCTTCTTTAAATCAAGATTGGATGTCTTTTTAAAAAAAACATTTGAGCTCCACAATAATTGATTGGCAAATCCCTGGGTGACATTCTCTGACCTGTAGTTATACAGGAAATCAGACTAGATGATCAGGATCGAGTGATCTTCTGGCATTTAGATCTCGGCCTCTGAACTTTTATTTCACTTTGAAAGTAGAAAATGCTATTGGAAATGTTAGGTATTGTACTGGTCTGCAATGTAAAAGAAACTGGAATAAAAATAGAGATGAAACACACAAAACCAAGTGACTTCATGACTAAGGCAGGATGTGACCGCCATGGCAAAAACCATGATATCTAGGCTCTTCTCACAAGAAGTCATGTGTTTGCGTCTGAGTACGATTCCTCTGCAAATGTTCCCAAATTTGGCTGTGAGTCTGCCCTGGGGAGTTGAAGGTGGGTTTATGGGATTTTGGCTACTGTTAAATGGGGTAAAACAATGCTGACTGTAAAGTAAAGGCTATTTATCTGGCCTGCATTCCCATGACACACCACACACTGAAGCCATTTTGTTTGCCTAAATATTTCCTTTTCTTTCATTAAAAATAGGATGTTGCCCTTTTTAGGCATTGGAAACGACCTGCCATAATCCTGCCCCTGTGCTGTGTAGCTCTCCTCCCACTGCTCCTCTTCCCTCCCGGGGCCATGTGGTCACAGGCACGGGGAAGCTGCACCTTGCCAAACAGCGTTGCATGAGGCCACCCACGCTCCACCCCCAGGCCAGGCCCCCGCTGCGTTCCCCTGCTCTGCCCAGGCTGGTTGGGGCTGGCTGGCCGGCTGGCCTGCCGCAGGGAGTCGGGGCGGCTGGTGCTGGAGTGTTGCTGCCCAGAGCACCGAGGCTGGCTGCCCCGCCCAGAGCACGGGGGCTGGGGCCTCACCCCCTGGCCGCTCGGCGCTGGGGCCGGGGCCCGCAGTGGGGGTGCTATGGGCTCCTGAGGGGAGGGGGGCAGATGGGGAGGGCTGGGGCCAGGGGCTAGCCTCCCCCAACGGCTGGGTCACCAGCCGCCCCCGCATGTGATGTTGTACCGGCCCTAGACTGTGAGCTCCTCAGGGCCATGGCATTTGTCTGTAAAGGGCCCTACACATCTTTGATTCTGTATTAACAGCAAAAGTTAGCAGCGTTATTAGGTGTCGCATGGAGGAGCAAAGACAGCAAAGAGCAGGCGACCCATCTCCTTGCCTGGCTCTGCTACCTTCCCTCAAGAGGGCAGGCCCAATCCCACCAGCACAAAGGAGCCCTGGCTTAGCAGATGGCTGCCCTCGCTTCAGCAGCACTTCCAAGGAAGTTACATGAAGCCCTTCTTCAAACAAACACACAGAGCAGAGGGAAGGAGGACTTGTGGCACCTTAGAGACTAACAAATTTATTTGAGCAGAGGGCATTCCCAGACACAGCCTGTCAGAAAGTAGGAGTAAAGACTGTAGCTACCTATCAGTACATTAGGGCCAGATTGGGGCCTCTCCCTGGGGGGTGGGCTGGCGCGGTGCTCCCTCTTGGCCCCTGCCTGGGCTGAGCAGAGCCTCGCTGGGGAGCGCACGCTTTGAAGGTGACATTGACCCTGTTAAAAAACCCCCAAACACCCAAAATGAGACTTTTTTTTTTTTGTTGTTCAGACCACGAAGCTGCAGTCTGATCCTTGGGCAGCCTGTTGACTGTAATGCCACACCCTGTCCGGCTCGCTGATGATCTGGGGCTGGTTCCCAGCCCTGCCATTGTTCATTACTGAGCGTGTTGGCTTTTTTAATGTCTGCATCTGGGTTTGTAACAAACCTAAGAGCAAGCCCAGAGAGAGGGCATGCTGAAATGCTAGGCAATATTCAGACACATTGCCCTCTACAGACAGGAAGGATCAACATTTGCAAATTCACCAGTGGAAATTAAAAACCGAGAGTCCAGACAACTGGCAAATTTCTCCTTTTAGCTTCTAGGCATAGCTAGAGTGAGAACGCACAGCAATCAGATCAGAGCTCACCAGCCCAGTCTATCACAGATCGTTACTACACAGGAACAATCACAGAGCATGCTGCAAGCAGTCACCGTCAGCATCTAACCAATCTGCTGGTAAACCCTATAATCTTGGCCGTTTTCGGAGTGACAGATGCATTTCCCTGTCCTAACAAAGACTATGCACTGTTCTGTCCATGTGCACAGACTGAGGCTCCCATCCCCCACTCCCTTGTTCCTGGGCAGCCATGTGCACCAACGCAGACTGAGTGCCAAGCGGGTGTTATCAGACCAGAACGGTGGCATTTTACATCCACCCTGCTCTGCTTTACCCCCCAAAGGGCAGAGCAATAGTGCGCTGGGCCCCAAATCCTGCATCTCAATCGTCAACAATTCCACGCTTGTCTCCCCCTCTAACACGGAGCACATTCAAAAGGAAGAGCTTGGCTTTAGAAAGGGGCTCCCTGCATCCCCCCCAGTCAGTCTGAGGCGGCAGTGGGCGAGAAGCTCTGTCTGTCTCTGTAGCACCTGAGCGTGCCGTCTCCTTAGCACACCCCTGGGAGGCAGGGCAGGACTATAGCTCCCCCGCGGATGGGGGCGTGAGGCCCAGTGAGCGCTGCCCAAGGCCACCTTGGGCAGATTAGGGACCTGAACTTGGGCTCCCCCAACAAGCTTTCTGGGACACACATCGGGAGACCCCGCGTCCTTTCTGGACAGAGTGGAGTGTAACCCAAGCAATACGCTGCCATGCAGCAAGCAATGCGATGGGAAAACCCACAGACAGGCAGAGCAGCTCCCCCTGCAAGGGCATGGAAGCACCAGGAAGGAATTGTTTTTACCATACATCAAGTCTTCTCCTTGGCCCCTGGCCAGCTGTTCGCAGGCTGTTGTGAAATAAGTTGTTGGGTGTGAGGTTCCGCCTGAAGAGCAGTGAGGAGCAATCACTTGCCGGGATCTTTGCAACATGCTCTGCTGCTTTTTCCTTCCTAGTGCTGATATATAGGCAGCCTGTGCGGGACAGGGAGGAAGTGAAGAGTTGGGTGTGGGTGGGGCCAGAGGTTTTCTGAAAGTACCAAATAGCTGCATTCGAACGCCTCTAGCACTGAGTCGAGTAGTTCCGGGGGTGCGCTGCGGAGTATCAGTCAGTTACTGGGCTTGGGGCTCAGTTCTACCTCTTGGGATGTTTCACCAAGCTTAACATGCCTCTCTGGGCTGTATCACCTGGTGCTGGCATCTCCCCCCGAGACGCCGCTGCATACTGGCAGCTCCTCGGGGCAGCACGTGCTTCCCTTGGGGATTCCTCTGAAACCTTGGGGACTGTACATTTAGCTTGTACCTGGGGGTACCCAGTAATTGCAGGGGTAATAAACTGGTGCAGGGCACCCTCTGTAGTGCCCTACCCAACCAGGCCCAGCAGAGCAGTAAGGGCGGTCATGAATCCACCTCTGCACTGGCAGGTGTCCTGCACCCAGAGACAGGAGGCACATTAGAACTGCTGCTTCCCCACACAACCCCAGAGCCTGCAGGAAACCCTTCCACCCGGAAAGGGATCGCGTGGAAATGTAACACTATTTTCAATACATGACATGATCACAACACACCGGGTGCTGCCTGGCTCCGCACTGACACCCAGGTGAGGCTGGAGCAGCTGGGTTTCACCTGTAAAGCCCTCACAGACCCAGGGCCCAGGGACTGAGAGACGTTTGCCACGAGGGCTGTGCTGACAGTGGGTGCGGACTGGCAGCAGGGCATTCTCAGGCAGGGCCAAGCTAATTCCTGCACCCAAGCAGGGGCCATGTGCAGGCAGTTGACGCCTCCCCAGGGCTGGGGCTGCATGGACAGTCTGAGCCCCTGGAGCCGACTGGGGTAGTGCTGGGGGCTTCCCTTGGCCACGCCTCCTCTTACCACTGGGCTGGCCCTGACATGCCCCCACCACATCTCCCGCTCTGGGGCTTGTGGTGCCCTTGGCAACTTCCAGAGGGCCCCTGTGCTGGGCATATTGCCAGGCGCCTCCCCCCCTTTGTATTGGCTAGGCTGCGGCAATCACAAAGCCTGGTGAAGGCTCCTCGGCTTTGAAATGTACCTTCCCCCTCACTTCCTAAGTCAACAAGAACCAGGGGGTAGCCAGGTGCAGGGCAGGCTGTGATGCAAAGGTTTCCCCAGGCTCTCCCTGGGGTGGAGAGTGGGAGGAGTAGGCTGAGGGCCTAGGGGGATGCGGGAGGCTGGGTTGGGAAGGGGGAGCCCTGTGTGCAATAGAGAAAGTTGACCGCCCCCCAAAAGCTGGAGATGTGCGCAGTTATCAGTGTAAATACCTTAGAGCTACTCCACTCGCAGGACGCCCAGAGAGATGGGGACGAGTGCTGGGCAGTGCATGGATCAGAGCAGCACGCAACGTCCCGCTCTCCGGTGGTCCTAGGGGGAGACAGGAGTGATGGCAGAGTGGTGGGAAGAACCAGGCACGGTGTGCGATGAGATGGGAGAGATGGGGGAGAAAAGCCTGCCTCCCGCGTCCCCCACAACAGGACGGAGCTAGAGGCATGGCCTGAGGGGCAGACCGAGAAGGCTTCTGTGTTTTCTGCAATGAGGAAGGAGATTACCACAGAGTCAGGCTTGAAACAAAAAGTGCTAAATCACTGTGAGAACGCCCAAATGTCTGATGCAGCCAGTCTGAGGCCACCCGGATCCCAAAGAATTCTCTCCAGCATGGAAAGCCACAGTTCTCGGAGTTAAACCTGGCAGATGTTGCCTTACTATTTATCCAGCACCAGTGATGTGCTTGGACAAATGTGGATGCATAAAAGCACTGGCTTTCCACCTGGCCCTGGGAGGCACCGGAGGTGTCCTTAAAGGCAGATAGGAAAACACCTGCCTTACCTTACCCCTTAGCCAAAGCCCCTTGGGTTACTGAACAGCATGAGCTGTGTATGTCATAGCCTAACCCTTGTGTTGCTCCATGCTAAAAATGCACCACACTGAGTTTGGAATCAAGTTGCCATGTTAATCGATTGCAGCCCCGTGCCTCCCAGAGAAGCACCTCACCCTCCACATGCGCAATCTGTCGTACACAAACTCTGCTGCAGGTAGTGTGGAGGAACAATCGCTCTGGTGATAATTAACATAGCACCGGGGGCACTGCTCCGGAATTCGGTGCGTTCTCTCCATTCCTCCATTTGTCTGGAGGTGGTAGGCGGATGAGGGGCTGGAGCAAACTGCTAATATTCGGAAGGGACTCCTGCCAGAAGCGGGACATGAATTGTGGGCCACGATGCGCTCTGGAAGACCATGAAGATGAATGACGTGGTCCACCCAGAAATGGGCAGTTTCTTCAGAGTGGGGAAGGCTGGTGCAGGGAACAAAGTGGGTCATCTTGGAGAAGTGGTCTAGTGTGGTCAGGACTATTATAAATCCGTTTGGTTTGGGTAGTTCCTCTATGAAACTGAGGCTGACAACTGCCCAGGGGCTGGATGGTACCTCGAGGGGCTGCAGGAGGCCAAGGGGTTTATCTTTAGCATGGGCACGGGTGTTATGGGGGCGATATAGGTCTGTATTGTGGCTCGCATGCAGGACAAGCTGCTGGGTCTTGGTACAGTCAAAATGCCCAGCCAGGGGGAGTTGTGACAGGCTTGCAGAGCTGCGACTGTTGGAGGCCAGGGGGAGACATAAATACGTTCTGTCACATAGAATATCCCATAGTGGACATTGGAGGCCTCCTTGTTTAGCACTTCCAGTTTGTCACGGTGGACCCCTTGGATTACGACCAACCAGATCAAGGCAAGTAGGTCTTGACAGGGTGTCCCACAGAGAGAGTTCCAGATGCTTGAGGCTTTGGGGCTCGGGCCTTTAGGGTCAGCAAGGTCTGGGACAGTGAGTGGCCTTTTATTTTTAGTTCCTGGTCAAGAGGAAATAACAAAATCGAAGTGTGAGAAGAACCGAGCCCACTGAAGCTGATTAAGGGCCACTGACTAAGGGCCTTGGCCCTGCACAGATAGGTCTTATGGTCTATATACACCTGGACCAGGTGGCAGGCCCCCTCAAGATAGTGACACCATTCCTCAAAGGCGACTTTAATCACAAAGAGCTTCTTGTCCAGGACTTCATAGTTTTGTTCTGTGGGGGTAAGTCTCCCGGAGGAGGAAAGGCACATGAAAACAAGACCTGTTGGGGGCCATGCCTTGGGAAAGCACTGCCCCCATAACCACGTTGGATGCATCTGCTTCAGTGGTGAAGGCTAGTGTGGGATCCCGGTGCACTAGTCCAGGGCAGAAGTGAATGCAAGTTTTAGCCATTCAAAGGCTTGTTGAGTCTTGGAAGGCCAGTGGAAGTTGATGCTCTTGCAGAGCAGAAAGGTGAGGGGGGAGATTCGTTCCAAGAACCTCGGAATGAACTGATGATAGAAGTTAGTGAATCCCAGGCAATGCTGCAGGTTGTGAATGTTCCAAGGCACTGCCCAAACGAGGACTATCCTCACCTGGTGTGGGTCCATCTTGACACCCTCTGGGGACATGAGAAACCCCCAAACTCTACAGAGGACTGGTGAAAGACACACTTTTCTAGCTTGGTCTAGAGGACGTGCTAGCATAGCCTTTGAGGACAATACAGACAGGCATGGTGTACCACCCTGTGTCATCAGTGAAAACAAGTAAGCCATCCAGATATATCACTACGTACTGGTCCAACATGTCCCTGGCAGTCATGAAAGCTATAAGGCCTGTGATTTCCCCAGAGTTCTGTCCACTCATGCTAAGCTACCTTCCCCAGTGCCCTGCCGTAGCACAACCCAGCATTTGGCATATAAGCAAATAGGAAATTTGTCAAAATCAAGATACATTGTTCTAGGCCCGCTTAGTACAAGCCAGAGAGGTGCCTTCACTGACCAGTACCTGGAACGCTCATATCCAAAACAAAGACAAGGAAGGAACAGAACAAGAAGTTGAGGAACTAGGACACACTCATAGGTGGGATTTCAGTGATGTGTAAAGAGTTTTGTAATGTGTAAAGTCATCCTATAAATACCTGCAATGTGTCACTTTGCCTTCTGTGTAAGACGCACGAGATGGCTTCCCGGATACTGGTATCGTATTGAACCTTTGTCCTCTACTATATTATTATTGATTTTTAGCACTAAACCTAACCGACATTGGTTATTTGGCCTCTTAAATTTTTATAATATTTCATAATGACACCAAGTGTGGTCAAGCAACTGACCACAGTTTGTCAACACAGCATGGGCACTGTTGCTCCATAATCTGGACTGGATGATTGTTGGTCTCTGGGTTGAATGTTAGCGGGTGGTCACACCTACCATCTGTGCCGCCAACCCCTCTGGGTCTCTGCGTGTGCCCCCTCAGGTCTCAGGCCTTGTGACTTTACCTTTCCTGGGGTGGAATCCCACAATTCTCCCACCCTCCCACTGGGCCCTGGCTGCAGTCCCCCGCGGCTAACCATGATCATCTCAGCAGGCCTGCCTTAGGCTCAGCTCCTGCAGTGCTGCTCCATTCGGGAGCTCTGAGCAGTGGTGGGGAGCGACCAGACGGCCTTCTTAAAACAAAACCTTGTTTACTAAGAACCAAAGCATTCCGGAGGAGGAAGATTTTAGAGCACGGAACTGCATATATGCAGGGCACATGTCTCAGGGTCGATCTAGCTGGGACAAAGTGGGAATTTTCTATAATATTTTCCAGGATGACTGTGTATGACTTTTGCATGGGCTAGAAGTTCACTTCATTCCCCTTCTCCAGTGCCTAAAAACCCCAACTCCCCTAGGAAAGTAGCTGGAGACCCAGAATTCAGTTTTGAAGGACGGCTGCCCCACTCCCAGAACAGGGGTTAAAAGCAGCCAAGCTAGGCTGATAGGGGAAGCAGCCACAGCTGGGGCCATGCCAATCAGGGTCCAGCTGGCCCTGATCAGAGGGCTGTGGGCCAGGAGCTGAAGGAGTCTCTCTCCAGCCCTGGAGTGGGAAGGGCTAGCTGAAAAGTGGAGTAGTGCTGGGGAAGAGCAAAGGGGAGCTGGGGAGCTCCAGCCTGGCAAACCCCCAGGTTGCAGGCCTTGTTAAAGGCCCCAAAAGGTACTGGGGATGCAGAGGGACAGCCCCGGGATAGGCAAAGGCAGCAGGTCCTACCCCATTGCCAATGATGAGTGGCCATTACACTGCAGTCTGCCCCAGTGAGCAGGGGCTAAGATGATGACTGGCAGTAGCCACTGAGGCAAGGTGGGTGAGAGGATTGGGGGGGGGTCCCCTGGGAGGGGAGACCCAGAGCGGGGGTACTGCAGAGGGCAGAACCCCAGGGTAAGGGGCACCAGAGTCCAGGAGGGACACGGGGGGCCTGAGGCAGGCGAGACATCGGCCAGCACAGGGTGCTCCGGAGCTGGAAAGAGCTAATTCCCAGGATGACCAGCAGGAGGCGCCGCACTGGTGTGTCATCGCTTTGCTACAGAAGGGTTTTGAGCAAGGATTGCTCAGGGTCAACCTCCCCACATCCAAGTCCCAAACAGAGTGAAAGGAATGAATTGAATTATTAACAACTTTGTAAAATCTTATGATAAAGAAACATAAAAAATAATAATAATAATTTAATTTTACAACATAACTTTGCTACTTTATAATCCACAGATATTATCTTCACAGTTCTACATAAACATAAATAAAGAAAACCAATTAAAACCTAAACAGGTCAGTCCCCACAGAAACACAATGAGAAGGAACTCAGCGTTCCCAAAAGTTTAGGCTGAGTTCACTGGAGTCTCCGTTAGAATCTTTGATCACCAAATTCTATACAAACTGCGGACTCTAAAACATCTTCCCTCCACTTGCTTGTAGGAATCTTAAAGATTTGAATCCACGCAGGCTCTTCCTTCTCCAACCTCTGCTGAAATCACTGGTAGCCAGTCAACTGATTAACCAACCACTCAGTTAAGTGTATAGATTTAAAAAACAAAAAAACAAAAAAGCCCAGTTACAAGAAAATACAGACGTGAGAACAGCAAAATATAACTGACTCTTTCCCCATTATCACGTTTAAGAAAAGTCGGTGAATCGCACTGGTTGAGACAATTTAACTAAAACAGTTTGGCTAAAATCAAACAACATTCCCAGAATACAGTTAAAAGAAAAGAAATTAGTTTCCCCGCCCAATTTCCCTTTTCTGTAATTAACACTGGCCATGCTTCCCTGAGGGTTATAACAGTATCACTAACCTGCTGCAAAAAGCTTCTGAGTCAGGGAAAACCGCCTGCTCTCTGCTCCTGGGCTCAGCTTTGCCCAACTCACACAATAGGGCACTGCTTCCCCACATATGAAGTCTGGCCCCAGCAACAGGGAACCTATTGGAGCAGCCCGAAAACTACCACACCCAATTCCCGAAACTTCTGGATGTGGAGTGCTAAATCTGCCTACAACAATAGCAAACACAACTCACTCCCCCGCCCCATCGGTCTCTTCAAGAGATATCTCCCTATTAGGCACATGGTTAAGGCTGCGAGTTTGTCATGGAGGTCACAGAAGTCACCGTTTCCGTCACCTCCGTGACTTTTGCAGCAGCCGGTGTGCCT